TCTCTAGGCAGAGCTCTGACTTCCCAGGATCTGTGTCTTTGAGTCTCTGTTAGGAACACAGAATTAGGAAAATAATTTAATCCTCATAAAGTCGGATAATGGAAATAGAATTTCCTGTATTTTTTCCTACCATTTGATGTGCATTCTGAGTTATTCTGTTGAATGATTAGTATACACGACTGTCTGACTGTCTGTTGGGGGGCTCTTCCAGAATATGCCTTATCACCAGCTTGCTTTTGACTGTAAACAATGGATCTCCAACAGGGAATTTTAAACATTGAAGCTGTTGCCTCAGACAATGGCCTGTGTGGGACCCACCCTGCCAGGTAACACAGTGGTTAAAGATGTTCCCAGAATCTCCTTCTCTCTGACACCAGTGGGGAACACTGTGGTGCTGCATGGTCATATGAGGCTGCCAGAGCCCTTCCATCACAACCTCTCTTAACCAGCTGCCAAGAAGGAAAAGGGGGGTATTCAGCAAGAAAGACCCTTGCCAGGAGTAAAATCTTTGCTCCCCTTTCCTTCTCACTGGATGGTTGTGATGATGGTTGCAAAGTACTGTGAATGACCAAAAGGATGCTGAAGTGAACTGATGGCTCAGGCGGGTAGCATGAGGTTCTGTGGATTTTGTCACCTTGAGTGAAGGCACTCACACTCTGGCCTTGCCCGAGACTACTGTTTTTTTCTCAGAACATGTTAAACTTGTTCCAAAGTTCCACCCCATGATGCCTTCACAGCTGATTGGCTCTTACACCCCCCCTGCTCTGCTGCTAAGTACCCAGGGTCCCACTGAGAGGGTGGCACTGCAAGCAAGGCACATCCTCACTTAAACGCATTGCACCTGCAAGCCAATCCTCCTGGGCCCCCTCCTCTCATGTGTGGCCTCACATGGACTCAAGTCCTTTCTGAACATTAAACTTTTTAATGTACTATTATTGTGTGTGATGTGATTTGTGCATGTATAGGTACATGTGTGTTTTGTGCTTTGTGTGTGTGTGTGTGTGTGTGTGTGTGTCTGTGTATGTGTGTGTCTTTGCAGGTACCAAGGCACAGGGATGGAGGTCAGAGGGTAACTTGTAAGAGTCAGTTTTCTTTTTCCACTGTGGATTTCAGGGACTGAACAAGGTTTGTAGAGCAAACGCTTTTACCTGCTGAGCCATCTTGCTGATGGCTGCCCCCCACTTAAAAATATATATTAAAATTTTATGAATTTCCTTTTAGTTTTAGTTCCCCAGGCTCATTTCTTTCTTTTTCTTTTCTTTCTTTCTTTTTTGTCTTTTTGAGACAGTGTCTCTCTGTAGCCCCAGCTCTCCTGGAACTCACTATGTAGACCAGGCTGGCCTTGAACTCAGAGATCTGCCTGCCTCTGCCTCTCGAGTGAGTGCTGGGATTAAAGGCTGGCACCACCACAGCTCAGACTCATTTCTTAACCTGTTGTCTGACTCCAGGTTTCCCTCTTTCCCTCCCTCCTTCCTTTCCTTCCTCCCTCTCTTCACCTGATAGTTGCTGGGTGTCCTCTGTACCAAGTCTGGTGCATGGTCCAGTCAGGGCTTTTGGTGGACGGCCCAGAGATCCCCTTCCAGTGGAGAGATCCAGAGTGTCAGTATTGAGCAGATTAAAAACATATGTGGGAGGGAGCGGGGTGTGGATGTGGTTCATTGGTAGAATGCTCCCCTAGCAAAAGAGCTGGGTCCCCAACACTGCCTAAACCAGACCTGGTGGTGCACTCGGGAGGTGCAGGGAGGAGGATCAGGAATTTGAGGGCCCCTTCTCTCCACCGGATGCCTATGTGTCAAGTAATTGATGTCTTGAAATACTTGATTCTTAGCGCATTCTCCTATTAAAGTGAGCTGGACTTCTATTTTAGGAGTTCCTCCGCCCCCAGTGTTCTCTGTGCAGGCGCCTGTGAGCGGGTTCCTCGGTCCCGCGAGTGAGGGTGCCAAGCTTTGCCTTGGAAATGCAAAGACCATCGTGACGGCTGCGTCGCACTCGCCGTTGGAAACGGTAGCTGTACAAAGGCTTAGGGGTCCCTCATCGCTGCCACAAGGCTGTTGAGAAGGACGCTTCCCGGGGTGCTCCGGATCGGGTGGCCCCGACTCCCTTCCGCCTCGGCCTGCAGTGCCAGATTTGGCCACAAGATGGCACTGTTGCTCTTCGCCGCAGCACAGCAGGCCCGTGGGCCGAGCGAAGGCCAGGGAGGACCCTCCTGGGGACAGCCACCTGCTAAGCAGGGGTGGCGGGCTTGCAGGGGTGGGGATGGGGGAGTGGGAGCAAGTGGGTGAGGTTCTGGGTTTTGAGGTAGGATTAGGGAGAGGAGGATTCTGGGATCTTCTGGTCACACTCCCAGCCCCTCAGATATCTGGAAGGTTTTTTTTTTTTTTTTTTTTTTTTTTTTCCTTTTTCAGAACTTGCAGAAATACCACCGGAGAGACACAGGCCCAGGAACCAGGTTAATACGCAGAGCTCCTTACCTAGTGACAGCCTAGGCTAAGGCAGGACTACCCTTTCACACCTCACAAAGGAGCACAGAGAGGGTTAAGCATTTGTCCAAAATTACACAGCTCTGTCTCTGTGAAAGCCATCCTTAAAGACAGGACCCCCCCCCCACTCCCCGCCTCCTGTGTGGGTCAAACATACATGATTCAACCAGCATTGTTCACTTGGGGAGGGTATGCCCCAACCCAGCTCTACCCCAGATAAACAGGCTCTTTGGGGTGTCACAGGGTGTCACCCTCTGAATGAAAGTCAGTGTGCGCCAGGAATTGGGGGGCAGGTAATTTGCCTTCTATCAGGTCAGGGGACTATAGAGCTCCTGGCTTGTGCTCCTGTTGGGCAGAGGAAGCCAAACACCCAGTACTCCCTCAAAGAATGTGTCTCCCCATCCCTCAAAGAATGACTTTTTACCCCTTCCAGAAACTGATTTCTTCTTTGGTCCCAAGCTCACTGACCTGGTCAAGCACACCCTTGCCTCCCTCTGGCTGTAGAGCAGCAACTTGGGATACGTGTGCCATGGGGTCACTATGTATCCCCCACATCTGTGCCTGCTTTTTACCTTCTGAGTCATTACCACCTGGCCCAGGCCTGGCATATAGTAGGTGCTTAGCTCTGCAGTTCTAATGCACAAGTGGTGGGAGTGGCTGAAGTAGTTGCAAAAAAGATCCCTAGGCCTGCTTCTCCCACAGGCAGCACCTCTGAGAGGGGACATAGACTCTCAGACTCCCTGTCCAGACACTGAGAGTCTGTCAGGGAGCTCAAAGGGGACTCCCTGGAAGGGAGGGCTGTAAGCAGCTCAAGAGTAGTTCTTCCTTTGGTAATTCACCTGGCCTAGGACCTGCCCTTGAGCACTTTCTGCCTTCTTTTATCTCTGCAGTGGGGAGCTGCCTGTGCTAAGGAAGCCTGTAGGAACGAAGCAGGTGCTGGTAGCCAGCCCCCCAACCAGCTGGGAGGAGTGGAGGAAAATCAGATACCCAGTAATCAAGGCGGCAGTGATCAGGGTGCTGTCCCCGGTGGATTCCCAGGTCAGGGGCTTCCAGAATGCCTTACTGAGGAAGCCAGGAGGAGGCTATGGTGACTTAATGTGGGGAACTGAGGCCTGGAACCGTAAGAGACTAGCCTGCTCCAGGTTGTAGAGGCAGAGCACAGAGCCAGGTTCTCAACCAAGCGAGGCAGGCCTCTGCTCACCCCTGTTGACCCTTCCGAAGTTTGACCCACTTTATTTTTACATAAAGACAAGACACTGGAGCTGGTGGCAGGTTTGATGGGGTTGGGCAGACCAGAGACTCCAGGCCAGGTGGGTGGATCCCACAGCCCCTGGCCTTCCAGCTGCTGGTGGCGCCGGGTCGCGGCAACGTCCAAGGTCTCTTAGGGCGACTGGAGAAGTCGCCACCGGCGCTTGGCGCGGTTGTTTCCTGCTTCACCCTGTCGCCTGGCCTAGGTTAGGGCCGTGCGTCCACAGGGGCAGTAGCCTGGGCTTCCGTGACCTGTGACTCTCTCCATGCTTGCCTGGCTCATCTCCTGGATGAATCTGAACACTGGGTACTCCTATTCTCTGCCCCGCCCCCGCGCCACCAGTGCCAGCCGTCTGCGGGGGGACCTGCCCTGACCTGGGGGAAGTGGTTCGCGTTCCCCTGAGCTTAACATGTAGTCACGCTCAGAGCCCGGGGACCGGAGCTCCCTGGCTTCTCACCCGGCAGACACACCAACACTCGGCGGTGTTTTCTGATTTCTGACCGCGCCCATCTCGTGCCCTGATCCGCCCGGAGCTTGCAGACTCTCCGGTGGGTCCCCTAGCCGAGCCACATTGATCACGCGTCCTCGTCTGCGATCAGCCTCACAGTCTGTCCCTCGCAGACACCTCCTCTGCACACGACGTTGCTCTGTGGCGCGGGCCCGCCGGTAGCTTCCTCACTAAACGACCTCCGGGAAGCCCATCACTGCGCCCCCAACGCACCCAATCTACCTGGGGACCCCTCTCCGCACTTGGCACCTGCTCGGGTCCCTGCCTCGACCACTCAAGCGGGTCTCCCCTGGCCTCCGCAGCCCGGCACCCTCCCCCCGGGACGCCGAGGAGTGGCACGTCCCGCTGCCTATTCGCTGGGCAGCAGCCGGGTGCCGCGGCCCCGGGGGAGGGTCCCTCCCCCGCCTCCAGGCTCCACCCTTCTCTCCTCCCCCTCCTCCTTGCACTTCCTCCCTCTCCCCCCTCCTCCTCCCTCCTCTTCCTCCCTCCTTTGCCATCCCCCGTGTTCCTCCTCCCCCTCCTCCTCCCTCTCCTTCTATCCCTTCCCCTCCTCCCTCCTCCCTCCCTCCTCCTTCCCTCCTCCCTCTCCCTCGCCCTTCTCCCTCCTCCCTCCTCCGGCGCTCGCTCTTCGCTCACTCTCGCGCTGGCTGGAGGGGCGGCCGGCAACTGGCGCTGGCAGAGGCGGCGGCCAGGATGGGACGCGCGCTGGGGCTCAGGAGCCGCGGCGCCGGCTGGGGCCGGGCAACTCGGGCCAAGTGCTGGGTGGGCGCGCGTTGAGCCCGGGCTCCGTCGCCAGCCGCTGGCCGAGCGCACACAGCACTGAGGAGGCAGCCGGCCCGGCCTGCAGGAGCGAGCCATGCCCGGCGCCCGCGCTTAGCCGCTGCGCGGAGCGGCCAAGAGGACCATGCCGCCCCCGGGCCGCGCGCCGCCGCTCGGGCTCCTGCTGGCGCTGACCGCGCTCTGCTGCCCAGGTAACGCGGCCGCGTCCCCTCCCCGACCCCGCCGGGCGCAAAGTTGCTGCTGGGGTCCTAAGTCCTCCGCGGCTCCCGCGTCATGCACTTGGCTGGGCTGGGAGACTGGGCAGCCGGCGCCCCCGGCGCACCCCCTCTGCCTCTGCCCCCCCCCCCCCCCCCTCCCCCTTTTTTCTCTTCTTCCCTCTTGTGGCCTCCCCCGCCCCCCCCCCCCCCAGCTTCCCTGTGTATCCTTTCTACGCTCTTGGGGCCACAGGCGGTGCGCTCTCAGCCCTCTGAGGCCGGTACCGCGAAACCCCTCTCACCACCCTGCGGAGGCGCCGGGTCCCCAGGCCCCGGTGTCTGGGGGCGGATGCTGAGGGTCGCAGGAACGCTTCTCCCCCGCTGCCTGCAACCCTGTTTTCCGGACACCTGCGGGGCTTTGAGGTCACCACGGCCCACGCTGTCTGGCTTGGCCACAGTCTCTCCCCGCTCCCCGTTGCCCTCCTCTGTCTCCAGTCGCCCAAAGGTACCCGCTCCCAGGTGCAGCCAGGTGCAGCTCGCCCCTTGCCTCCTGGAAACTCGGGTGGTCCCGGCATCCTGACCCCAAGGTTGGCAGGAGAGGGAGCGGTGGCCAGGCAGCCCCGGAGGGCTCAGGGCCTCCTGGAATGTGGCAGTGTCCAGAGCCATTGCCCAGGATTGGGGAGCCCAGCTCCCCGATGGCACCTGCGCGGCTGTCGCCCCAACCTCGTGAGTGGGGAAGGCAGAATAGGTATTTTCTGTTTGCAGCCTCTGCTGAAGTTCGCCAAGCTCTCTGCCACCTCAGTGTGGCTACGTGTTGGTTGTAGAGGAAGCCTACCCTAAAATGACTGTGCCTCCCCCTCCCCCACCCCAGGCAGAGGAGACAGCCCCGAAGGCTGGGATGAGGCGACTGTCACGAGCCGTGTTCATGTGCGTTCGAGGGCTGCGTTCTCCAGACCTTTAAAATTCCAGACCCATGTTTTGGGATCAGGTGGCGCTTGCCTGAGAACATTCCTAACGTTTCTGAAATAAACAAATCACACAGACCCCGGAATGCAGAAGCCAAATGCAACTCGAACTTCGTAGCTAATGGGGTGAGGTTGCATTTGGGAGCAAGTCTGCATGCCAACTTATGGTGGCATTTTTTGTGTACGGAAAAAATAAACATTATCTTCCTCCCAGATACCCTCAAGTAACCCCAAATATTTACTAAGATCTTTCACTTGGAGAGACAGTGGCGGGCCCTGGACTTCAGCTGGGTAGGGAGCGGGGGACTGGGTTTAACTGCAGGGCTCCTCCTTGGTGTGGTTAGTGAGCCACTAAGGGCAGGTTTGCTCTCGCATTCCCCTGCTGGCCTGGAGATATGCGCTGCGGGCGTCGAGGACTCTGAGCGGAAGCCGTGGGACTTGTTTGCCAAAGCGCACAGTCCCTTGGACTTGAAAATTGCAGTTTTGTCGCTATTTTCCCTCTCCATGGGGGTTAGCGTTGGCCTGGAAGTGCTCATGAGTGGCTTTGGGCAGTCTTGGAGGAAGATGCTTGCCTCTTGATTTGTGCTAGAACTGGTCTCCTCACCCAACTACCGAAGAGCCTGCGCATAGCTCTGGGCGGCTTGCATCGTGGGGTTTGCAGTGTGGGGGAGGACCGTGCTACCCCCTGGAACCCACGACTCACGCTCCCTACGGTGTCAACATGGCCAGTAAGCAGAGACTTCCATGCACCAGGATCCTCTGGTTCCCTTCAGGGACATAAAGAGACCCACAGTTTACTAAGTCTATATTTAGCTCCAAAGCAAACGATGTTCCTCAAAGATCTTTAGCTCCTGTACTTGGTTGAAAGGTTCTGGGGGAGTTAACCAGCTTCCTTCGGAGCTGGCTGGCTGCATGTTTTATGAACGCCCTGGCTGAGGCTCTGGGAAGAGGGGTTTAGGAGAGAGAGTTCAGCGGAGAGGAGGCCGGCTTTATTGCATACAGGCTGTCGTCTGTGCCCTCTTCCTGCGTGGGCAGCTATCCCGGGGAAAGAGAGTGGTGGGAGGACCTTCTTACAGTGCTGAAGCATATGGAAGTGTATTAGGGGCACAAATCCCCCTAGCTTAGCGGCCAGGAGGCCCATCATTCAAGCCACTTCTGTGCCTATTGGTAGCTTTGCAAGCTAGTCGCGCTGTCACAGCCCACGCCCCCCCTGAGGGAAATGGAGCCTAGTTTTGTTGACCCTTGATGCTTGGGGGGGGGTGTCTGTGGATTGGGGGTGGGTGAAGCGCACCCTGGAGCTTCCACAGAGAGTCCTACAAATGGTGAGCTCACAAGTGTGGGGACAGCTTGTTGGAGTGCAAGTCTCTTAGTCCAGCCTAGCCCTTGCTGGCAAAGGATCTATTTCTTTCTTATTACAAGGTGTTTTGGGAGGAGGTGGCCTGCTCTCCAGAGACCGGCTTTGGGACAGGGGATATGCTAATGCTGTAACCACTCCCAGCGATTTAATGGCTCCGGACCTTCCCAGAGTAAATCAACTGGCACCCCTCCTCCCTCTGGCGAGGGTTGAGGGTCGGGGTGGCACGGGGCTTCCTACAAAGCTCTGGTGACTGGAGCCAACAAAGAATGTGTCAGTGGCCATGATCCAAAGGACAAAAAGAAGCCCCTTATTTGCTGGCTGGAGTCTGGTCTCTGGGCTCCTTCCCAGCGAGCCCCAGTTCTGTGCAGGTTCTTTCTTCTCTTCTGTTTGAAGGTGGATGGGGACAGTCCATTTCCCTGGAGGCTGTGGGACTCAGCCTCCTGGCCTGTGGGAGGGACTTAAAGTACCACAGGCAGTACCCAGGCAATAGTGGCCCAGCCCAGAAAAGCATCTCTTGGCATCCTGCTGAGGCTAGGCAGGTGTGGCTAGCTGAGGCCACAAGGCTGAACTGCTGTTAGATCTGGGCTCCTGTCCCTGACTCTTGCTCTGTCTTCTCACATCGTTGCCCTAGACTTTCTAGCCCCACACCAGGGGCTTGACTGGCTAAGGGGTCTCTATGGACTGTGATTCCACTTAAGGCATCCCAGGCTATGACCTGGTAGCTCCTTGGCATGGCCAGAGTAGCAACAGAAAGATGGGGACAGATTGTCCAAAGGCTGCTGGTGGTGATGCAAGGGCCCTGGTGCTGCTTTGCACACACTATGAACCTTTCCTTCTAGGAGCACCAGAGAGTACAATCTACTACAGGTGGGCATTCTCAGCCTCAGACCAGTGTTTATGGGTGAGGGTGTTCATAGGGGAGGCTAAGTCACCTGCCTCTGGTTGCACAGAATCAGGGGTCCAGCCTCGTTGCTACTGTGTGCCTTACTCACACAGCCTCATTCAGTCTCATACAAAATGACAACACTCCAGTTTTAGGCAGACCGCAGCTACAAACCTCCCTTGCTGTGGCTCTTCCTTCAGCAAAGGGCTCATGCATGTACACTTTGACCTTCTGGTCCCTTTGTAGTTTCCTGCCCTCTGGTCTTTCCTCTTTCGTGTGTGTGTGTGTGTGTGTGTGTGTGTGTGTGTGTTCCACATATGTATGTGGAGGTCTGAGGTCGAAATCAGGTGTCTTTCTCAATTGTTTTGCACATTTTTATTTTTCATTCTTTCTTGTTGCGACAGGGTCTCACTATGAAGCTGTGGTTGGCCTGGAACTTGCTATGTAGACCAGGTTGGCCTTGAGCTCATAGAAATCTGCTTATGTCTGCCTTTTAAGTGTTGGGATTAAAGGCATGTGCCACCATGCCTGGCTCCATCTCATTTTTTGAGATAGGGTGAGCCCCAGGGATCTGCTTGTTTTTGCCTTCCCAGCCCTGGGGTTACAGAGGGAGCTACTGCACCTGGCTTTTTATGTGTGTTCTGGGGCTTGAACTTGGGTCCTCATGTTTGCCTAGTAAGTACAGTACCGACTGAACCATCTCCCCAGCCGTGGTTCTTTCTCTTGAAGATCCGTTAGAATGAGTGACACAGCTGACCTTGTTTGTGGACTGCCTTGAGCCCCTTCTAGATGTGGCTTAATTAATCTGCAGCAACCCCCGGGGTAGGAATATCTATGCCACATTTTACAAATGAGACTGGGACTAGAAAGGCAATGGGACTTGTACAGAGTCTCAGAATCACCATGAATATGCACAGTGCTGGTTCCATCTCAGAGACTCTTTGCTACTGCCATCTCTGTGCTTGTGAGCACTAATTAGAGGATGATTTACTGGACTTCAATTTTATTATTAATGTTATTATTATTATGTGTATAATGTGCATGTGTATGTGTGGGATACCATGGCACATGTGGCAGTCAGAGGACAGCTTGTGGGAGTTGTTTCTCTCCTTTATGTGGGTTCGAATGGCATCAAACTCAGGTTGTTAAGTTTGCACAGGCTGAGCCATCTTGCCAGCTCTGATTTATTGGTTTCGAGGCTGGTTTGGCTTAGAGCTGTGTCTCACATGAGTGATTCTGTTTAGGGAATTTTGTCCCCTCCCAAGGCTCTGCTCAGTAGGGGCTCCTGCCACTTGTCAGGGGAGGTTCCTGGTGTTTGGGGAGACAGCAGGTATGTGTGTAGGTCCATCTTTGGAGGGTGATCTTTGGGGGACATCTGGCATGCTAATCTCTCTTGTTAGTTGCTTGCATGGAAAAAAAATCATATTAAGTGAAATAAATCAGACTCAGAAAGATAGATATCACATATTTTCTCTCATTTGTAAATCCTGGATTTTATAAAGAGGCATAAAGATGTGCACGTGAGCATGACGGTTGGGAACTGTGGAGAATAAATGGGTAACGGGAGGAAGGGAATGACGAGAGTGGAGTCAAAGTGCAGATGTTCTTGTTTGAAAATGTCTATGAAACCTGTCACTATGCCAGTTTAAAAAAAAAAAAGAAAAGTAAAAAGAAAAATTGGAGCTAGGCATGATAACACACACCTTTAATGCCAGCCCTTGGGAGGCAGAGGCAGGTGGATCTCTTTGAGATTGAGGCCAAGCCTGGTTTACACAGGGAATGCCAGGCTAGC